CCAGCCTGCTCTGTTACCGGATTACAAAGTAACATGGCTCTGGGGGGGGCGGAGTTGGGGGGGCATGGTAAGCACACCCGCTCAACTGCTGCAGACCAGCCTGCTCTGTTACCGGATTACAAAGTAACATGGCTCTGGGGGGCGGGGGTTGGTAAGCACACCCGCTCAACTGCTGCAGACCAGCCTGCTCTGTTACCGGATTACAAAGTAACATGGCTCTGGGGAGGGGGTGGGGGGGGGCATGGTAAGCACACCCGCTCAACTGCTGCAGACCAGCCTGCTCTTTTACCGGATTACAAAACAACATGGTTCTGGGTGGGGGGGTTTGGGGGGGGGGGGGATGATAAGCACATGCGCTCAGCTGCTGCAGATGCTCGTTTTCCGGAATACAAAATAGCATGGTTCTGGGGGGTGGGGTGGGGGGGGCATGGTAAGCACACCCGCTCAACTGCTGCAGACCAGCCTGCTCTTTTACCAGATTACAAAATAGCATGGGGGGGGGGGGTTGGTTGGGGGGGGGGGCATGATAATGTTCATCTCTTTCTGGGGGTGGGGGGTGGGGTGCGGGGGATGATAAGCACACCCGCTCAACTGAACCAGCCCAGCCTGCTCTGTAACGAAATGGGGGCATGATAAGCACAACCGCTGAACTGCTTCATCCCAGCAAATGCATCTCTTTCTGGGGGTGGAGGGTGGGGTGGGGGGGATGATAAGCACACCCGCTCAACTGAACCAGCCCAGCCTGCTCTGTAACCTAATGTGCAAATTCATCGGGTTCTGGGGCATACGCCGCAGCAGGGCATACATGTCAACACGCATGCGCACAACCACATACATGGACTCGCCAGCATACATAGTAACATATGTCATGAAACATACACGTCACATATGTCATGCGATATACACGCCGACCAGCACAAACAAGCGCATACATGCTCGCGCATGCGCGTATATCAACATACATCGCGAGCAAACATATCAACACGCATGCATGCGCGACAAGCCTTCTGCAAAAAGCGATCCCGGAGCGATCCATTTGCGCGATCCCTAAGCGAACCATTCGCGCGACGCCTAAGCGACCCACTGCCCTTGGGGGTTGGCCTCATTTCGGCCTTATTTGGGCATTATGTTGGCCTTATTTCAAATCTCTTATTTGGGCCTTAGGTTGGCTCGATTGCAAATCTTGAAATCAGGTGGCCTTATGGTGCGCTTTCTGTTTGACTTTAGAAGGGCTTGGCCCTTTCTTTGACATAGTTTGTACTTTTTGTGGGGGAAAGTGAGCGTCAATCAGTGGTGAGTAGTGAGCTGTGCAGAAAATACTTACACCACACGCCAGCACACTCCCAAGTGCTTGCATGCTGCTACCATGTAGGGTCCCAGGGAGTGGCGTTGGGCCGCTTGAACGATGGAAAGCGTCTAGTTGGCAAGGTCCGCGTTGGGCTTATTTTAGCCCCAGTCAAATTAACTGGGGGGGGGGGGGGTAGTAGGGGGTAGTTAGACATACCTGAGGTTATGACCCATGGCCACATGCCTCTCAGCCCTCCAAGGTGGCGAATGATGCCAAGCTTGTGGCCCTTTGCTAGGGAGGGGAAGGAACTGCGGCTGGATTTGTGCCTGCTATGCATGCAAGCAGCTCTTCGTAGTCCAGCCTGCCTCGTTGCAAAAGGCATGAGGCATTGCAGAGATGACAAAGCGCACGGTCAAAACTGATGACTCTGGACCTCAATATTTGTCCACCATTCTGACTAGACTAGGCCTTCATGTCTGGAGTCCGTACCTTTCAAACTTGCCCACCTTCTAGGCTAGGAGTTTTACCTCCCACAGCTTGGCATCAACAGCTTGCCCATCCCTACCCATTGGAGCCACGGTGCGGTCGCGGTTGCCTTAGGCAAAATCAATCAGGCGAATGGTCAAAGGCGCAAGACGTCTTTTTGAAGGGCAGGTGGGCCGGCATCTGCTAGCTACTGCGCACTTAATCACCAAAAGACGGCAGTTGGGCTGTCGTTGAAAGCGCGTGCCGGCACTTGTGCCACGTGGGGAGGCAAACCAACAATTGTGCTGAGGTCACGGGCTTTGACATGCCCGGAATGATCTTCATGGTGCAGCTGGCAAACCTTCCAGTGCCAATGAAGCAGCATGCCATTGTGCTAGAGAGGACTCACCGTTCAACGATATGAGCACAAACGTTGCGGGGTACCTGCCGAGAAGTTGGCCAGAACGTGATAGGCTACAGCCATATGAAGCCATGTTGCGGTCGACTCGCACGAACATGTCCTCGAGCACCTTCCTCTTCCAGGTGGGCCCTTCAAGCCTTGCCATCATACTACCTTGGTTCCGGCCGACCGCCTGCAAACTGCAAAACTCGCAATATGGATTCAGGCACTGGTGCGAGCCACAAGTCAGCAAGCAAGCCGCCCCACTCGTCTTTGTCTATGAAGCCGTCCCCATCCAAATCCATCCGGAAGAATGCCTGCACCAGAAACATCCACTCCGTAAATGCCAATAACAGCAAGCTGGCAAAGGACAGTGGATTGAACTGCCCGAGTTGGAATTCAGGTCATCCACTGGGACGGAAAAAAGGCACCGTTTCAACGAGGTCGAAGGTCCACGCTTCTGCCTGGTAGAGGACGTCGATGGCTTCATGGCGCTCCACCTGGGTCCACCAGGTGGCAACCAGCGACTCGGCTTTCCTCAGCGGCCGTATGGCGAAGGACAGCCTGCGGGGGAAGATGGGTGTCCAAGAACAGCAAGGGGCGACCAAACCTGGGTGATATTGAGCTTATCACTGCAACAGAACGTGCCCTTCAACAACCATTGCTGGGAGGCACGGGACGGATTCCCTCAAAAACAGCCAACGCCGGTACAAATATTGATATCCGGCTGTGGAAGACAGCTCCAGCCCACGTTTCGAACGAGTGAAGTTATTGAGCTGACTGGGTATGTGCGGGCTTTCCGACCGGCACTTGCAATCCTGTGTCTGAATGAGATCGTCGTCCACGTCGCTCTTGCGTGCTCGCTCAATCCTGGCAATGACAGGCGTCAAAGCAGAAAAGTGACAAAGCTAAGAGGGGGAAGCTAAGCAGCGCACGGCTAAAACCATGCGGAAAGGGCAGCATATCTACTATGGATGGCCTTGGCATGTCAGCATGGGGAAAAAGAGGAAAAAGAGGGCAACAACTTGCTCCTGCCAAACTCTGGCCACCCAACACTAAACCCAGGGGCGCTGCGTTGGGCCCATCGAAACTGCACAAGGCAACCCCGGAGCCTCGCCCGGCAACCGGGCCCCCAACCCCCTCCACACAGCCGACACAGAGAGACACATTACCCTTGATGCCCAAACCGGGGGAGGTCGTCCAGGTTCTTTGATTGAACTTGCCCAAGCCCTTTTGATTGCCTGGGGGAGTCCATTTGCAGCGCGAGCACTGCGAAATCATTGTAAAAAAAATGAGGGCAGAGCTTGCTAAATCAAGCAGGTTGCAACTGCATGTGGTGCTAAGAAATTGAGCCCCCTCCATGGTTCATCCAATTTCTTAGCAAACTCGTGCATTTTTAACCACCAGGGAAGTGCCCGCTAATAAATCCAGGGGCTCAATTTCTTAGCGGCCTTGTCGGGTGATGAAGGACTCCTTGGCTGAGGTCTTGAGGGGCCTTTTTGGGTGATGAAGGACTCCTTGGCTAAGAAATTCAGGGATTCAGGTGTGGCTGTGATACCACTACACCAACAAAGGCCGCTAAGAAATTGAGCCCCTCATCACCCGAAAAGGCCGCAAAGAAATTGAGCCCTTGAACTTCTTAGCAATTCATCGCCCGCTAAGAAATTGAGCCCTGAATTTCTCAGCAGAAACCGATCTCTCTTTTTGCAGCGGTCGCACTGCACCCAGCCCGAATTCCGAATGCCCCTTGCCCGCGCTTGCCGCTTCCCGCCAGGCCACAGGGCCGTGAGCTGGTCCGCGTCGCTGCGGCGCGCGTGGCTGGAGAGCGGCAGGCAGCCCTTCTTCAAGGCCTCGGGGCTCTCCGACGCCGCCCGTCCCACGCGTCCCATCGCAGAAGGCGCTTTTTGTCTTAGCTGCCATCGAATCATACGAAGTTGGGATCATTCAGCCGACTCAAGACTTCAAATGTTCCTTATGAGAGGAACCTGCCCACAAGATGGCCACCACAACTCATCCCTGAAACCATCCTGAAGGTTTCATGCAACCATCGGGTACGCTGCCCATCCGAAATGGAACTCGTGCGGCACACAGCGGCATACAACTACAGTTCCTGCCTTCGTCGCTGCTTCCTTGACTTCGAAGGGCACGCCGTCAGGCACCACACCAGGAGGCGGGGCGTCTTCCGCCTCAGGCACTGCACCAGGGAGCGGAGGGGCATCATCCGCATCGGGAACCGCGCCAGGAAGTGGAGGGGCGTCATCTGCGTCATCTGTAGCCATCGCTCGGAAATGTGGCAAGGGGAAGTGGTCCAAATGGAGCTCGCAGCTGTGGAAGCTTGCCGGTTTGTCTTGCTACACAGTTTCATCAATAAACCAAGGAGTACAAGAGGCGAAACATATCGTCGCGGAAAATTCCAAGGGGCAACTCTTTGCACAGAAGTTCTGCCTATCTGACTTGCCTATGAACCATGGCCTACCTGTCGACGACGCAGCCTACCTTTGGCAGGTGCGAGCGCAGACTGGGAGCCAGCAGCAAGGAAGCGGCACAATGGCAGAGAAGGAATGAAGTGACCAGAATCAGCAAATCAAGCAGCCCCCCCGAGTCACCTCAGCCAAGTTGTGCATTGAAATGGTTTGCTTGCGCTCTCTCCAGCCATGCGGCCAAGGGTCAGTCCAGCATAGGCTTGCCATTCTTGCCGGGAAGAAGAGGGGTCCATTGACCGGCGGGTCCAAACTGTTTCTTTGACGCTGCTGACGTCGACAGCCCCCATCGCCCATCAACCTATGCAAAAAGGACAAAGTTCCACTGCAAGCTGAGGGAATCTTTGCCACCCCCGAGGCGCCGCGCAACTCTGGGCTTCCCTGGGGCATGCTAGGCCAGTTCAGCCTGCTGAGACAACTGCGTGTTTGCCTGTACCTCGCACTGGGTCACCCCCCATCTGCGGATTCTGATGTCTTTACTTCACAAACAATACCCTCCCAGGGGTGCAGGGCACGACAATTTTGCCTTCCAGCAGCGGCCGCATCAAGACAAGGCAGGCACTCAAACACAATGCACAGACCAAAGGAAGAGAACAGGTGTAGGTGTGCAAGTGCTGATTCGTGCTTTTAACCCTGAAGCCTGTTGCCACCTGGAAAACCTGAACGGCATGTCCCGGCCTCGGATCCCCACAGCAGAATGCGGCCTTCTGGCTCCTGGTGAGTTAATTCGCGCCAGCTCATCACTCCAAATCCCAAATCTGTCTACGCATGTACAGGTACCATGGCATGGCCTAGGGACAGCTTGAAGTGGGCAAGGTGACCGCAGCTGCGCGGGGAGACATAGCTGGGCAGAAATGCGACTCCTTCAACACCAAGCTTTAGAGGGACCATCCTTCGGTGACAATATGCGTAGCACTCCCTACCCGTGCCTGCACACACGTACCACAAGCAAACTGTAAACGGACGTTGGCAAAGGCTCAGCTGCCGTCCTCAGTCTGGGCTAGAAAGTCCCTCTGGAAGTCGAAGCGCCAACATCGCAGAGGATACCTGGCCAACGATGGGCACAGCGCATCCCTTCCAACATTCAAGTCAGCTTCTCCCGGCGCCACTTCCAGAAGGATGCTTACCACAGCAGGAATTCGCCAAAGCACTTGTTAAAGGCAGATGTTCACTATGAACGGTCTTCATCATCGCCACTTGGTAGAGCGAAGGAACAGATGCAAATGCAAGGTAAGGCGAGGTCATAACAAGCCTGCCCTTTGGTTGTCTAGCAGCCTAGTGCTCCGAGGTCAGTGAAGGCAGCGGCCAGTTCTCGAGAACCCCACATATCATCATCCGAAGACACTTGTGAAACCAGGACAGTTATGCTCCACTGCTTGGGCCGTCCAATTGTTGGTTTCACGGCTTCCCGACATTCCAGGCATCCCCGAAGATGCATACATGGGCCCATGAGCCCAGGGGCACTGAGGTGCGAAAGGGTCCTGGCGCTCGGGTCCATCTGCGGGGCTCTCGTGGCACCACACGGGGCCGTGCCTCACAAACGACGAGAGCGGCGAGCCAGGAGGTTGGCTGCAGGAACAAAGTGCAGCATTGTACGTGTCCAGTGGTATCTCTACTCTCTACATAGGTTTCATCAGAGAATCACACAAGACAAGAAAAGGTGGCGAAGCGATGGCGCTCATTGCTTTGTTCACTGCAAGCAGCAACCTGGGGCTGGCGCTGCCAAGAAGAGCTTGGGTGCCTGGCAGCACACCATAAGGCAGGGCCCCCTGTCTAATTGCAAGCCCGCCGATTGATGTCTTTTGGACATTCCTTTTCATGCTCCTGCTTGTTCATCCCTTGCTCCCTGCGCGACACGTTTGGCTACCAAAGAGCCAACACGCGCCTCCCCCGCCTCCGCCACCCACCTCCCCCGCGTGTTCAAGGGTCCCATTTGGATGGGCCGGGACATTCTCCGCACAAGTCACCAGGTTGCGCCATCCCTCGGCATTCCCGTCTCCCCCAAATCACTGGGTAAAAGAAGGTTGGCAGCCCGCAGTCTTCCCACATTCCCGGCTCAAAAGCGGCAGAGGTTTCATCTGACTCCTCCCTTCGGTTTTGAGACGGACCCCCAGGCCCCAGTCGCCAAGCGACAGCAGGCCGCCGGCCGCTGGCATCGCCAAGGCCGCCCCATCGAAACCCAGCAACAGCGCAGCCGCCACCAGCTCCAGCGCCTTCCTAAGCGCGGGCTGAGAAACCCCAGTCCAATAACCCGAGAAACATGAGGGGGCCCACCATGTTGTGTAGGTGTCCTCGTAGGTTCCCTTTAAAGCCGCCAAAATTCCGGCGCCTCGAAAAAAAGACACCCGTGGCGAAGCCTTCTTTCAGTGAGATTGAAACGCTTGGTAGAGAAGGGGACCCTTGTGTTTCATATTTATTTACGTTTATTTATTTATTTGTTTATTTTTTTTGGAGGGGGGGGACTAGTTGTTCAGCGGGGAAGCCACCAAACAGAAGCCGCTGACCCCTGTTTGGTATTTGGATTGCTTGTGCAAACTGGGGCTGATTTCTTGGCGCACCTGTGGACCCAGGAAGATTCAAAGCTGAGCAGTGCAGTGTTTTTGCTACCTGGTGTGGATTTTAACTAGGGACCCTTGGGTGGACGTGATTTTTGGCGGGGATTGATGTCTGCCAACCACTTATTGGGGGGGTTCCCCGTTAAAACTCATAGCCACCTGCTGGGGACTTTGAAGGAGAAGAGCTGCGCGTGCAACATCAAATGTTTGCAAAGCAAACGGCTGGCAAATGCCAGTGCACATGTTTTTGGCCAGACCTCGGTCGAGCACCATATGATTTACAAGGGAATCAAATGCAGGCTGCCACCTCCCTACCACCGAAACTCCATTAACGGAGGTCTGATACTTGAAACGATCCAAATGGAACACCGTACCTGGTCGGTGGCCAATTGCAAAACTGGAACCGACGCCTCTCAAGTGTGTGTGTGTGTGTGTGTCAATTTAGTCCCGGGACCTCCCCCCAATTGGGTGGCAAAGTTCGCTGAAACATTGAGGCCAACTTTGGGTCGACCATGCCTCGTGTGCTGTCAAGCGTCTTGAAGCGAGCACCTATGCCGTCCTGCAACATCAGTTGGGTGAATCGTCTGCTGATTTGCACGGGCTATTGGGTTTTGAACCATCGTCTCCGGAATGCTGGCTCTTTTCCAGAAGTGCGTTTCCACCTGTCAATCCCCCCCAGCCTCCAGTTGGTCAGAGTGAACCAGCAGCACCTGGCGACCCCAATCAGGGACGGCTCAGCTGGGTGAAGTGATCCCTGACAGCCTCAACACGCCTGATACCACAGACCGGCACACGTCCCTGCTTCAAGTTGCTGTCTCGAGCTTTGTGTGACGCGAGGTTGCGTGATGGAATAAACCACGAAAGCGGTATTTGATGGATTCTTCCCAGAGAGACACTTCCCAGCAATCCATCAATCCAAGTTCAACCATGGATCTATCTTTCAGAAGCGCACTCCTTTCTTCGCCGAAGCTGACTGACCAGATCGGCTTCTTGAGGTGACATCATGTTGGAACATTGAGGGAGAGCAACCTGCTAAACGGGCATTGCCTATGCAGAAAATCTGTGCCCTGGGTCATTTTGAATCAACCATGGGCCTCGACTGAGAACCCATGGGTTGGTTGTGAAGCCAGAAAAATCCCTCCACAAAGGAGAGCCTCCCAATATGATGCACAGGCGGAGAGAGAACAAAAAAAGGTTTCTCATTCGCCAGCGTCAGCCATCCAAGTCACTGTCTTTCCGGCGTATTTTTTTGACGGAGCCACGAGTCAATTTCCTGCCCGCTGGCGCCTGCCCAGAAGCCTTGAGTTCCTTCAAGCGCTCCCGCAAGCCTCCGAAGGCCGTCGCCTCGCCGCTCGGCGGGCCCCGAACGCAAAACCCGAGCCGCTTCTTCTGGTTGAAGCAACGTTCTAAGCAGCCAAGACATGTCCAAAATGGATGACTTCTCACCATGGTCAAACAAGGCCCAAAGAAAAACACATCGAAAGCAAGGGCATAATAATATGTCGATGCTCTTCCCCAACCTCTGACAATGAATTTGCAAGATTAGTCGAAGGATGGGCTTTGCAAATGCATGCAAATGTCCATCCAAATGAAGATTTGTCCTGAGTCAGTCAAGGGCCCGTGAAGTGTCTTTGGAGTTGGCTAATGCGCCGCCGGCGGCCAAAGCGAGCCCCATCTGACTCACAGCATATGAGTGAGCATCTCAAGGGGCCCGGCCACTACTGCTCCAAGCATCCCGCTGCTCCGATGTGTAAGAAACCCCTGGAGGGGCAAATGCTGTGGCTTGCATCCCGCCCCATTCAAGCGCTGCGCCTCCCAGGTGTCGCAATGAGCCTTAGCCGGGCGACTCGAACTTCGGACTTAGAGCGCCAGAATGCAGTGAAGGCTGCCCGCAGTTGTTTCAGAGTGCCCCTCGCACATCATGAAGCCAAACAGAATGGCCATGGCGGGCAAGCCAAGAAGCACTTGAACGGGTCAATCGTCAAGCACCCTGCCAACGACAACATTTCGACTGGGCCAGCGGCTTTGGCGAATCGGTCCATCCACTTCTGGCCGCGGAGCGCCGCGTCGTGTAGGCGCTCTCGGCCGACTGACAGGGCGAGGTGGGATAGCCGAGGCAACTTGGGGCCCAAGTGAGAAGCATCAACACAGATCATTGTGAGCTCGCTTTACCCCCAGGTGAGCTGGCTGTAAAATAGGCAGACAGACGCTTCTATCCCGTCCTTCCTGCGCGAGGGCCATGATTTCATCAACGGGCACGATGTCATCCGCAGACGTGGAGTTGAGCCTTCTGATGCAATCAGTCTCGAACCTCGGCGCCCCAGACTTCTCCAGCCTCTCTCATTTTGTGCATCCGCTGTTTAGCGGATTCAAAGTCCACAAACCTGGGACAGCGCAGTACAGCCCACCAAGCCGAGCCATGCCAAAGGTTGGAATCCTTTGGGAAGCTTTGTCTGCTGCGATGGCCAATGGGAAATCCGAAGCATTGGAGGAACCAATGAAAGTCCCTCTCCAAATCTCCCAAGCACCCGGGCCCATTGCAATCGGCCAGCCGGGCACTGGTGGCCTGGCGAAAAACAAACCTGCGAGTTGCTGCGGGGCAATTTCTGTTTTCTTGGAGCTCGCCAAGTGCTGTTGGGCATCTTGGCTGAGGGGGGACGCCAGTGGTGATTGCTGGGGCCAAATGCTAAGCTCTTGGAACTTCAATGCATTTTGTTTAACGGCCTTCGGTTCAACGCTCCGTTCAACAAAAAAAGGCTTCTTATCGCCAAAGCTAGAAATCCACGCGCGTGCGGACCTCGCAGCCGCGAGAGCTATAGCATGGACCGCTCGCAAAGGGCTCCTTCAAGCTGTGAGCGCTGCAAACGCCACTTGCCACGCGCCAAACATGAGGAAGCCAAATTGGGGGCGGAGTCAAATCAACTCGTCATTGCATGAAAGGGGGATCGACGGGCTCATTGACTCGGAGTACTTGTTGGACTGGCAAATCCAGGTAGGTGGAAGCACCTGTCCAGCCTAAACGCCCTCTGACATAGTAGCCCTTCACATTTCGGCTCTTTGAAAAAGGCCAGAAAGAAGATTTGCACCTCGCTACTTGAGCAAAGCAGGCCCGGCTAATTCCCAACGAAGCCCGCCACGGGCTTGCAAGTTTCGCAGAGCCCGTCCAGCGGAAGAACTGTCAGGGCCTGTGCCGCGGCAGCCATGGAAGTGAGCAGGAGGCTCCCCCAGAGAACAACGGAATGAAGGGTGCAAGGCCTTTCCTGGGCCCCAGGCGGCTAGCCAGCGCATGGCGCCGCCCGGCTCTTCCAAATGCCCAAGAGAGTTCTGAAGCGATGGGGCCAGCTCATGTTGCCGGGTAGGACTAGGCCAAGAGAAAAATAAAAAGAAGAAGAAGAAAAAGTGGAAAAAAAAACAAAAAAAAAACTTCAGGACAGCCGTCATCCTTGCTAGGATGGTCAACCCGCATACTCTTGCCTGAAAGGTCCCTTACTCAGGCAGTGCCTCTCTTGTATGAGATGTCTACCCTGGAGAGGTGCTAGGCACGGGCAGCGCTTACGTTCATAGCTTCAACTCAGCTCTGCTACCACCCATGCTCGCCCAACGACTGCCGTCCAAAGCTTGTCCAAAAGAGGCGTGAAATCTTCGCATAGCCAAAGGCGTCAGCCTCACTGCTCCTTTTCTCGCCCGTCTCCTGGGTCTGATCCGCCGGACATCTTCCAAGCTGACCAAGGCGTTTGACAAGGTGCTGTTGCAAACTAAACATCAAAGGCCTGCTGCGGCACCTGAGGCCTAGAAAACTCCGAGCCACGCCTTGGCCAGTTCATGAAGCCAACCCAGAAAGCTGCGAACACCACGTCAGCGGGGCTCTGCAACTCACATGCCCAAGCCGTAGGTTTTGGCTGGGTAAAGCTGGCTGGGAGGAAAAATGTGGCAGGTTGCGGCACATCTCTCTGCCGCTGCTGTTGGCTGACAAGCTGAAGCAAAAGGGCCATGATCACATTTATGTGGGACTCATTTGTTGTCGTGATTTTTTTTGGGGGGGGCCGCTTGAGTAGAAAATGTAAGGATCTTGTGACTGCTTTGGGGCCCGCTTTTAATGGAAAGTGTTTCTGCTGGAGAGTGCCGGAGAAAAACATGAAGCACAAAAACGGGCCAAAAGTCAGGCAAAAACAATCCGGGCAAACTTTGCAAGCATCAAATTTGAGGTAACTTCTTTACTAAAAAAACTAAGAGCAAACAGTCACACAAAGGCGGTGGTCCACAACTGTTTTGGGGCTCGCGTTGATGCCCAACTTTGCTTTTGTTGCGGGCGGGGGGGGCGAGGGTTATTGAAATTCCCATTTTGAAGCCTTGGCCTTTTACTTTTCAAGGGTGGTTCACCGAATTAAGCTCTTCCCAGCTCAAAGGGTAAGGAAAACCATTTTGCAAGTGGCCCCCAAACCATCAAGCTTAAGATAGCTTATTTACAAACAAGTAAGGGCAAACAGTCACGACACAAAGGCGGCTGCCCACAAAGGTGATTCCATCACTAAAGAGATCCCGGTGACTGGTTCCATCGCTTCGTGAGTGGGCACATTTAAGCAGACCAACAGCTCTGGTTGGCCTTCGGCACCAAAGATGGTTCAAGCACTTTGGTCCTGCCTACCATCCGTGGCAGTCTGTTATGCGCATGGTCAGAACAACTTTCCTAGGCAAGCGCCTCCGCAGCGACATCCTGTCTATTGGAATCCGGAGGTCCACGGTGCAAGCCGCCACTGCCACGGCCGTGTCGAGGCTTGAGGCTTCAAGAGTGCTAGTCCCGTGCAGGCTTGAGGCTTCACTCGGCAAAGCAGCAAGTTACTGGCATCGGCACGGCCAGGCATCTCTCTTCGAATTCCGGCAGAGATTCCACACTTCGACATTCAGAATGCCACCTGATCAAAATGTCAGATGCTTGCAGCCGGTACTCAAATCCATGGCATTCTGAAGGCTCAGGACGCAAGGTCCTGTGGACGTAAGTTACACGAAGCAAGGCGGGCTCGGTTCCTCGGATTCTCCGAAAGCGCCGCTTGAGATTTAAGGCAGCGCTTTGCCGCTCACCCTGTTGAGTCCTGAATGTGCCCTTTGTGTGTGTGTGTGTGGCTCTGCCTGTTGCCAAATAAATTGTTGCCAAGGGTATGGCAGTTTGCTTCTCCACAGGCGCGAGGCGAATTGGGGCGTTCTGAGCAGCATGGCCGTCATTGGCCCTGCTCGCTTAGCTACATGCGTGAGACACCTTTCGCCCGGAGCAGTTAGCTCCAAGGCCCCACATCCAATCTGGGTGAGTCATTATCTGGTGCAGGTGCCGGCGGCATGGCAGGGGCAGATCTGGAAGGAATAGCGCTGCTCCTCGGGTGCCACATCCAGGGCGAGATTCTACCTCCATGTGGGTTTTCATAATGGAGGTGTTCATGCTTGTCTGAAATCCACTGAAGTCAAAACCACCCTAGTCCCATCCAACCAGGCTGCCAGGACCGAGAACACTCCAGTTCCTTCATACCAAATGACCATATGAAAAACTGGGCCCGTCTTGCAAAAGAGATCTGGCTCAAACAAGCGCAACTTCCAGGCCTTGAACCATTCTTCCCATGATCGTTCCCTTCCAACGCGCATGCCCAGAATGCATGGCTCAATGCGAAGCAAAAGGCCCCGACAAGTTTAAGTCTTGGCCGCTTGTGCGTTGGTTAGCGATTTCGTGCAGGTCCCGTGTTGTTTTCTCGCAGCCCTGTCTACGTGGAGTTGTGTCCCAAAGTGTCAGTCAAAAGCTGTCAAGTCTGCTGACACCAACAGCGGGAAAGGGCGCGTAACTGCGAAAGAAGAAAGCAGACTTCTTTATTTGGCCTCTTCGGTTCTTCAGCTATTCAACGCTTCGATATTTTGACTCTTCGACTCTCTGACTCCGACTTCTTGATTCTTGGGTTCTTCGATAATTGCTCGGTTCTTTGATTCTTCCAGTGCTCAATTAGTCGAGCCTGACTCTTTGATGCTTTGACTCTGGGACTGTTCGATTCTTCGATTCTGCGCTTTTTGAACTCTTCGACTGATCGATTGCTTGATTTGTCGGTTCTCCCCCGCTTCGACTCTTCGATCCTTCGACTCTTCGATCCTTCGATCATTCGACTCTTCAATCCTTCAACTCTGACATCCTTTGATTCTTCGACTCTTTCGATTCGCTGACAAGTCGACTCTTCGGCATACGTTCTTCGAGTCTCATTGTTCGATTCTTCAACTCTGAGACGCTTCAATCGCTCGATTCTTGAGCACTTCAACTTCAATCGTCTGATTCTACGACTGCTTGATTCTCTTCCTCGGCTCTTCGATTCTCCGATTGCTCAATTGCTTGATTGTTCAACTATGTTCAACTCTTCGATTCTGTGATTGCTCGATTCTCAGAAGTTCGACTGGTCAAAATGATCTTATCTAAATCGTCCGCTCTTCCGTGCTCAATTGACCGCTCCTTCCGCTTCGATTCTGCGATTCCTTGCTATTGATTCAAAACTTCGATGCTTCAACTCTTCAATTATTTGATGCATAGACAATTCTTCGATTCTTCGACTCTGGGATCCCTCGGCACCAGCTGAGCCAGTTGAACCCTTTGAACCGCTTGAACCAGTAAACCAGTCGTCCAATTGATGGCTCAACTGGCTCAACTGGCTCAAGCGGCTAACCAGTTCAACGAGGCCCTGCTGACGCAATGAAGTACTGCTTGTTGTCGCGCATCGAGAACTTGTCGGATTTTATCCATGCGCCGTGAAGAGAATTGGATTCACCAAACATGGCCAAAAACATAGGGGCCGAGGTCGTGGGCAATGCTAGCAAAAGGGCAACGGCCTCAGCCACTTCATCCTCCTAAATAAACTCATGCAGCAGGCCGTTACATCGTGACTTGCTCTTAGATGGGAACCTGATGCTGCTCCAACTCCGTTCTCAACCTCATTCACTCATTCAAACTTCTAGTGTGCAGAGGGTGTGAGCTTGCGCTTCGCAGTGCCTGCCGAGCGTCCATTTGCTGCCAGCCACGGCCACGTGCGGAGTTTTGCCCTCGGGCCACTGCCAACTAGGCTTGCCTCGATCTCGCTCTATCCTTGGGCAGTAACGCGAGCAACCCAAATGGCATCGTTGGGTCAACAACGCCGAAGGCCAGCCCACTTCTCCAAGGATCTGCCGCGCACTCTCACACTGCCGTGGAGGCCAGGGCAGCTTCAACTTGGATACCTCCTGAGTGAAGGGGAAGGCTGGGGACCCAATTCAGCCCGCTTTGTCACAAGAAACCATTGGAGTGTGGAGTGCTTTCTCACTTGCGACTTGCGACTTGCGACTTGCGACTTGCGACTTGCGACTTGCGACACACACACACACACACACACACACACACACACACACACACACACGCTCCCCCTCGCTCTCTCACAATTCGCAGGCACGACAAACGCTTTCACACACAAATGAGGGGTACACTTCCCCCCTTTGACAACTAGCTGTGACCTGCTCGGGGCATAGGTGATGCCTCCAGGGCAACGTGTCACCATCCCCGCCCATCCTGGTTGAGCTCAGACAGCAGATCCTCGGATGACGGCAGGTCACAAGCCAAAAGCAAAAAGGCACATGACGGTTACTGCAAGGTAAAGATGTAAAGATGTGGCATTGGAAGAGCCCTGCAGACAAATCAGAGCGGGAAACATGCCAACTCTGTAGAGTTTCAAGCGCCCAGTATTCCCAACCCGCAACTTGTGGGCGCGTTGTATTTTGGATTTTTGAGAGGGTGGGGAGCCCGGCCCCAAAGACGGACTGTTTGGGGGTCCATTTAGCTCATTCTGTACGAGCCGGCGTGGCGAGAAACGCGCACGGAAACAGTGGCAGAAGAGGTTTCGTTTCTGGCAAGCGTGCGTACATTCTGATGAAACTCAGTATTGGTGGGTCATTTCAGTTTTGCTTTATATTCGGATATTAAGCCATTGCGTGAATGCTCAGGCAAGCTGGGCTAGGATTCTGAGGCAGGTGGGCATGTCAGGCGAACCTGGACAAGAAATCCCTATTTCAAATACACCGGCCGCTGCCTTCCCAAGCCCCGGATGACGATCCTAATGAATTCTTCATTGGTGCCTCTCTGGTATGCCCAGGATTGCCACGCTTCGTTTTAGCCCTAGCTGTTGAAGCTGCTCTGCAAGGCACACCCGCAAAAATAAGGCAAGAGGAAAACTGACCAGCCATGGCAAGCATGAAAGCGCATCGCAGCGGTTTGGATTCAATTATACAAATTATACACTTTACGCCAGCCGGTGTGTGTTGCCTTTGCGGGAAAGCACCCACACCATGCCTTATCGGATCCCACACGCCAGGCTACATGAAAAAAGTTGCTCCTCCTGGGCAGCATGCTACAGCCCTCAAAGCCCTATGGAAGTCTCACAGGCTCAGACGCAACACGGTAGCGCAAGCAACAGTGCGCAGTCATGAAAGGAATGACTATAGCAGCAGCGACCAATAACATTGACCGAGCGCAAAAGTGAGAACGTCTCCGATCAAGTCCCCGATTATGCAATCTGTTGAGTTGGGGGCCTTCTTAATCCTGGGTTCCCACAAATGAAGTGCAAATTAGCCCATTCTTCCACCAGGCCGCCAGGGGCCGCTCTTGTGCATAGGCCGCCGCTTGCTGCGCAGCCACCGCCATGCCACGTGCCAGGTCACTTCGCACTTGCCAGAACTCATGCGCCAGCTCTTCCTAAGATTTAGCCAGCGACCGAGCATGTGCGTTTCTTCAGGACCGTGGGACTTGCATAACATGTCCAAACAAAGGAGCGAATCTGAGGTTGACACCAAAAACGTTTGCTGCTTTTTCACAAGTGGCTGTGGGTCAAAAATGGGTATCCAAAATTGAACCCTGGCAAGTGGTAACATAGGCTAAAACCTGCGGTCCCCTGGTGGTGTAATTTTGACCCAGACCCAAGTCTCTTGTGGCGATGATTTCCAAAGTTGCTGTGGGAATAGTTGCAACTAGAGCTAAGGAACAAGTGTACAGCAACTTTACCATGGCCGGTGGCTAGTCTTTCAGGGTTTTGTTGCCCGCACGATACACATCATCGGTCAGTACCAGGTGAGTATGAATCCAGGGAGAACTGCATCAAGACACAAATCGTCATCTGCAGCCAAGCCTCTCGAAGCAGGTTCATCATGTCCTGCCAGCGAGCCAGAGATCATGCAACAAATGCGTCAGTGCAACTTGCCCAAGCGATGCTACAAGAAGCGCAACGTATCCAAAGCTCGTGAAAAGCAGCTTGCGAACCAACGCTTGGGCCACTCGAGCCCCCCCCCCCCCGGCAGGGCAAAAAGCCTAGCAGGACAGCGCCTCGATGTCAGCCCCAACAACGCCACATTCAGCAACCATACATCCGCACATGCTAAGAAACGCAGGAAAACGAAACATGACGAGAATCGCAAGCCCAACGCTCGGCCACAAGACTCAGCCTCCCCCCGCCCCCGCTCCGTGGCCCAAAGCGGCGACTCCGAGGCAGGCTCTGCCGTCGGCTGCTGCGGCTCCGGCGGCTCGGGCTCGGTCACGGGCTCCGAGTCCCTGCAAAAACCATACTTCGTGCAAAGCAAACCCCGGGAAATATGCCCTACGCCTTCCACAGAGAATGGGAGGCACTAACACTTGACCATCCCGCCTTGGCATCTCGTTCTGATCGTTTTCTTCGTTGAATTTGACATCCCTCTTCTTCTTCGTCAGCGCTACCTGAGGAAATCACCAGCAGGGGCTCTTTCGCGCCGAATCGATCTTCTGCCGTCTCCCAGTTCAGGGCCGTGTCTCTGGGTTTTTCCGATCTACCTGGGCCTGTCCTTTTTGGGGGCCCGGAAATGGGTGGTGTTCCTTCGACGTGGTCCTTTTGAAACCACCAAAAAATGGGTGCAACGCCAAGAAAGGGCGCCACCTGCATGTCCTTCGTGCGCCCAGCGGCAGGGCTCAACTGCTGCGACCCGGTTCCAGAGCCGCTAGCCTTCAACGCGATGCTCGCCACCTTGTCCACGGACAACTGCAGCTCCCTGTCGCAGGTGGGACTTGGGCCTGCTATTTTTCTTTTCTCTATCTATCTCTATTTGTTGTTTGTTTCAGGGGGAAGGTGGAGGACATGTCCCTTTTGCTTTGAAGGGTGCTTTTCTCATTGAGCTCCTCCTGACTGAGCACCAAGATGCTTGCATGACAAGTTCCCAGGGCAGGCTGAGATGCCACGTTCGCCTTGTGTATCATTCCGGCTGATTGGCCGGAAAATGAAGAAAGCACCCGCCTCACTTCTTTCCTCAGCTGCTTGAAGTTCTTGTCGATGCGTTTGAACTCCACCGAGCGGTCCGATGTCACATGCCTGAGACATAGTTGCATCAGCCGCTGCATGATGCCAAGTGGCCTCCCAAAAACATGGCGCAACAAAGTGCTCCCTTTGCTACTGTGTATAGCGGACCTCTCCTACAGCCATGCCAATCAACTGCCAAGGTTCTTTGACCCAGACTAACTGGCAAGTTGAAGCTCGGCCAACACGCTGCCAGGCTGCTCCATGACACCCTCGCAAAACTCCTCAATGTTCAGCTGCCCGGAGTTATCGATGTCTAGCATGCCTCACAGCAACGATTCGAGCACTTGTCCTGTACGGCAAGAATGTTTCCCTTGAATCCTGAACTGCGTGAGGTGTGCGCGAGCAGGGCTTGCGATGAAGGCTTTGTGGCTAAGGCTGTGACAAAAAATCTCCAATGGGCTGTCCAGGGTCAAGAACTTCTTGAGCATAATCTGGTCCTCTTCCGTCGCCTGGCAACCAAACAGCCTTCTCTAGGACATCCGAAGAGGTTTGCATGCCGAAGTCACATGCCTGCCTCTTGCTGGCCTAGAAAGCCAGAACACGATTAATCTCCAAATTCGCCTCGGCCCCAGAGGGGCCAAGGGCGCTCTTCGCTTTTCCCCTACCCCCTCCCCCACCAAAAATTTTGCCGGGCCGCCCCCCCCCCCCACCCCCCCCCACCCATGTCGGCTGGCCCAAAATCCTGTCCGGCGGGCCTTGAAATTTTCGGGGTTCGTCGGCGTCCAGCTCCATGGGTCCATTTTTGTCGACAAGCTTGGGCCTGAGGCGGGTGCGCTGGGCTGACAGGCCTGGCCAGCAGGCGGGTTGCTGGTTGGGCTGGGCCTGAGCCTAGTCTCAGACACGTCAGACAGGCCTGGCCAGCAGGTTTCAGGACAAAAAAGCATTTTTTTAGGATGTTCAAGTCATCCCATCCAGCAAGCCCAGCCCAGCCCAGGCCGACTAGGCCGGCCCCCAGCCCACCAGCAGGCTCCGCCCAGCGTGTCGGTTTGTCTAACGTGTCTGAGACAGTCTCACGTGTCTGAGACTGGTCTCAAGCTACGCCAGCTACTAAGCCTGTCTGACGTGCCCCAGCCCCTCAGCCCCTTTGGCGCAGTCTGACACTGGTCTCAAAGTATGCCAGCCTGAGTGTCTTACGTGTCTGCGACTGGCCTCAGGCCCAGCCCAGCCAGCAACTCGCCACCCAGCCTCAGGCCCAAGTGTGTATGAAACAGGCCTTGCCCATCCAGCAACCCGCCCAAGCACAGCTCAGCCCAGCAACCCACCTCAGCCCAGCCTGCCCAGCCGAGGCCCCGGCGCATCTGGGGGCATGCCAGCCACCAGCTCCCAGCCCACCAGCAGGCTCAGCCCAGCGTGCCAAGGTCAGGTTTGTCTAACGTGCCTGAGACTGGCCTCAGGCCAACGACCAGTCTCACGTGTCTGAGACTGGTCTCAAGCTACGCCAGCTACCAAGCCTGTCTGACGCAGGCTGACCAGGCCTTGACCTCCTGCTCGTGTCTGGCCCCAAGTCATCCAGCAGGCCCAGCCCCTTCGGCGTCTTAAGGTATGCCAGCCTGAGACTAGCCTCAGGCCCAGTCCCTCAGCCCGCCTGCTGGCGTGTCTATTGGGGATATTTTCCGGGGTACTTAAGCAAATGGAGGTTTGTATTCCCACCATGTACCTGTCTTGGGCTGAGCAACCGAGCAAGAAATGTATGTCATGGCAAGCCGCCAGCCACGTGAAATGGAGGTGCCCAAACACCCAAAGTTGGTCTTGTTTGTTCAGTGACACCAATTATTGTTCCCAGCACATGGAGGCCAAGCCCCACTAAAATGCTCATCCGAAAAGGCGCCAGGGCACAGGCAATGGGATAGTCTTGATTTTGGATTTCAAACCTTCCGAGCAGGACGGCTTCCGAACATCGAACTAGCACGGGCGAACTGGTGCGGTCACAAGCTTTCAGTAGGATTCGGACCTTCCCAACACTGGATTTCGGTGTGCCTGACCCTTCCCTCAACCTGGGCTGGGCCGAGGCGGGCAACGCGAAGCGTTTACAATTAACCAAGCTGTGTAAGCCCAAGGGCCCGTATCAAACAGCTGCCCAAAGCCTATGCAAGAATTTGCTTTTGCTTCCGTCTGCCACATTGAGCCTCCATGATCTCGGCTAAGGTGATGGTGCCGCTGCCATCATGATCCAGGCCTATCACTCAATGGAGGCTGGTGAGATTCAACATGTGCTTCAACCAGGGGATCCAAAATGAACGATCCTTTTGGCTTCCCTTTATATAAAGCAACCTGACCGAAAAGGGTAGCCTCAAAAGACTGGAAAAGAAAACACCCACCAGCAAATCTTGGCCCGGCGGCGGGAGAACATATTCCGCAGCTCTTCGATGGTCTTCTTGCGGCGCTTGTTCTCCTGAAGCTGGAGCCGAGGCACTTCTCAGCCAGACTCTCCCCGATTGAAAGACAGCATGTCACGGGCCGTTCCCAAGCTCACCCAGCGGACTAGCAGCCTAGCGGCCTCGCCGCCTAGCGCCCTTCACACCGCCCAGTTTTGGTTGTGAAACCCTCACAGGCTCCTGGACCCGCTGGATCTCCTTATTGTTGGAGGCCTGGTGCGCACACAAATTTCAATCGCAAAGCAGCCGTCACGTGCTGCACTGCGGTGAGGCTTGTGGGTGAAACCAGACGTGCCGGTCAACCTGGATTCGTTTGGGGTGCGTGTCTCGCACGACCCTTATCGAAAATGCCCGCAGGACATGCTTCCAGTGGAAGAGCCTGCTTCTCAGGATGGCTTGCACCGGGCATTGCGCACGCACGTTAGTCTGGGCCTGCTCCAGGGCGCTGTTCACAATGACGGCCGTGATCAAGTTCATCAGCACCTAAAGTTCCAAGGTTCTTGCCATTGGCAACCATGGCCCAGGAACCGCAGATCAGGCGAATTGCGCGACAAGCGACAGCATTGATGCCAATTTCACAAGAGTCGGCCGAAACGGAGATTTGGCATAAATGTCAGAACGCATGTGAACCAAGCTCAAAATCTCTCTCGGGTAAATGTTTCCGTCCCCGTTTTTTTTGTGGGGCATCTAGCGAGCCCCGCCAGCAAGTCGCTCCCAAATTGACTGTATACAGACTACCCTGCATTTTGACCGAACGTTTTGTCGGGCACCCATTCTGTCAGAGGCCACGCAGCTGCCCATGCGTTGCGTGGTCCGCAGACAGAAGTGGAACAAACATATCAGACTTTGCGCGTCCAAATTTCTTACGGCCGCGATATCCAAACGGGGCAGTGAACTCACTCTCAATTCTGGCACGTGGAGCCAAGGGGCAATGGAGATGGCCAACACCATGCCTCAGCCCACCAAAGGCAGTTTGAAGGCAGGGCACCCAAAGGAAGTGAAGCCTCCCGGCTGTGATCCCAAAAAGTCTGGGGCCTGTTGACCCGAGTCGCCGGCCCCTCACACCGCCTACCAGGCCCCTCCAAAACACAAAGACTGGAACTGCGAGTGGCCTGGCACTGCAGCCGGGGTGCCGATAAAGTAGAAGGCAAGGCGCCAGTCGGCCTGGTCAGCACAAACCCCTCGAGCGCACTCCAGTCAACTTGCTTCTCATTCTGCTCCGATGCAGGAGGCCCACCCAGTCTCAAGTTATACCATTGAAGACTCGGCCATATGCTCATGGCGAAACATGCAAGAGGAACATGTCGCGCCTTCACCAATGGCTTGTACATGTTGGCCATGGAATCTAAGGTCACGAACTGAACCTCGGCTCACTTATTGAGAGATGGGCTTCAAGATCCAAGATTTACCGACGTGCTGAGGCCAATGCTGCGCACAAGGATTGCTTCACATGTCACCCTGCACGACAGTTTCCTGGCGTGCCTACATCTCTGTCGCACGTCGTGCCGCGAGACCGAGCCGAACAAAATGTACCGAGCAAGCGCAGCTTCCACATGTCCCGTAGCTCAAAAAGCCAAAGCGTTGACGAGTGCAGGAAATGCGTAACAGGAAAGAAGAACAAACAACCATTTCAGCTCCCCCCTAGTTTAAATACCTGCTCAAGTTAAGTGAAGAGGTCTCAGAGAGACAAGAAAGTGTAGCAGGAAAACCGAGCGGGGCTGCTATCCTTCGCTCAGGACTCAATTTGAGCACGGCTTGTAAGAGGACACAAGAACCTACAGCAAAAAATCTGACATGCAAGCAAGCTATTGTTAAAGGAGCGGGGAGAGGAGGGTCCTTGTTTCGAAAATCGGACAAGTGTCTGCACACAAGTTTCACACACCCGAAGCGCAGTGCCAACAACAGGCCCGCCAAGATCCGCCAAGAAACCAACGTGATCATGGTTAGGAAGAGGTTGCCAAAGTGCTCATTTGCAACCTCAAGCAGCTCCGAGCAGGGTGCTCGCAAGACACCCTACAGAAAGTCTGTAAACACCAGACCGACCCTCTAAGATGCAGGGCCCTGTGACGCAGCTCATCCCCCCTGAGGCGCCAACTGCGTAAAAAAGTTCGGAAAGCTCATCAGTGGGAGCCTGCTTTGCCAGCTCGTGGTTTGTAATCACTTCGACCTTATCTCTGAAGAATCTTGGCGGCCCATGCACAAGCAATTTGTGACATGGGGGATGGTCTTCCCATGCGGCCCATCATGTTTCTGTTTACGCCCATGCTGAAGAATCAATGATCCCATCCCCCCCCCCAAGAGCCCTGATTACGCAGGTCATCCTGCCAATAAATTCAAGTCACGCTTGCTACCCCCAGAGCCATGCAAAATACCACCCATGAGAGCACGCTCCAAACCTGCGGTTCCCCATTCTGTAGCGGCATCGAGTCATGCAGCCCCGCTTCTCCACTCTCGCGTCGTGTTCTCATGCTCTCTTTGCTTCTAAGACACGCCGACAATCGAAAACCTCAGCTCTTCGCTTACGCGCAGGAAAGCCCGGGCAAAGCCATAAACCCGACGCCCATGGCCCCATCCCAACTGGGCCCTGGGGGGGCCTTTCCAGGGTTGCCCTTGGGAGCTGAGACGAGCGTCAAATACAGCACTGTGAGGAGCAACAGCAAGGTGTACACCATCGTGCTTGCCTGGCGTGGCTCGCTGTTGGGCACTCGCTTGAGAACAGCAGTCCCGACACGGAAGACTCAACATCAGCTTCGCGATGCTCACGTCCCTTGCTCCAAGGTCTATCTAAACTCACATCCAGGATGCTTGTTCCAAGTATGAATGAAAACCACCTCTCTCCGCCCATGCCGGGTGAGCCAAAGGCGCAACCATCCCGCAAACCGGACGAACCAAGGCCCGGCTCCCTGTTGAAATCCGTTTTGCCGTCCCAACGCCCAAGCGCAGCCAGAGAATGACCCCCTCTACTCTCCTCTCCCTGAAGCTTTTGTCTCTCAACAAATCTCTGTCGACCCATCTTCTGAGGGCAAGCATCAGCTAATAAATGGCTTGCATCGCGATGGCCCAGGCACTTCAAAGCAGAATCGCTGGCAGGCTAAATGGATGGGGACATTGGCGGAAGGGCTTTAATGTGCTCTTTGTGTGCGTTTGTCGAGGCTGAGGCAAAATCACAAAACTCAACCTTCGACTGCCCCACCAACAAAGGGTTGAGGAAAGTGCCAGCGGCGAGCCAAGCGACGCATGAGGTCACCATCTGCACCAACATCCACAACTCCTCAGAAGACTGGTCCACAAGCTGCACAGAAGCAACAGGTTCCAGCTGGGCACTCCAATATGCAGCAATGGCCCAGGGAACTGAACTCAAACCCCCAGCACTGTGCACTGTGCAGCTTGGATTCCTGCATGCGGGTCAGCAATCGAGCTGTTCTGGCAAGTCCTTGCGTGGCCGAAACTTCGTGCGCTTGGGAGTTGCATGCAGGAATGCACTCGCATCAAGCCCGTGCCCATGCAAATCTCACAACATCTCGTAAAAAGCCGTCGTTCTGAGGTGCAGTTGCATGCGGTTGCATGCAGCTGCGCGCACCTTTGCCTATGTATGTGCCTGCGTCTGCAGCAGGCAGAATCAAGTAAGACCCTTGGATGCAACCTCAAGCCCTGCCAAGTAGCGAAGAAGCCGCAGGGTGCGCCTCAGCGGCGCAAATAATTGCCCGAGATCATTCGCGGGCCATGCTGTCTACAAAATCGCCCGGGGATTTTTTGCCAACAGCGGGCATGCACTGGAGGGGCACGTCCTAGCTCTGTTGATGGCTCCGTCTCAGAATCTCAAGCTTATCAACTTTGCGCAGAAACCAGCGGACGTACCCCATGGTCCTGATGCCAAGGGGCAGAGTTAAGAAGCTGGAGGACTCGTCTCCCATGGCCACCTAGCCACTCAACTCCCAGCTCATTTTGAAGGGAACCGCTGGACTCCGGGAGCCCCCCTTCTTGCCGTAAGGTTGACACGCACGTTCATATTAAGATGTCTTCATTCTCACGCACGTTTACAGAACAGGGAGGGAGGGAGGGAGGGAGGGAGAGGGAGAGGGAGAGGGAGAGGGAGAGGGAGACAGAGAAAGAATTAGAGAATCAGAGAAAAATGAAATAAAATAAAAGAAAGACAGCAATCATGTGTGGATCTACATCTCCATAGCTTGAACTGTCAACTGTGAACGCAATCGCCGCACTCAGCGCAGCCCCCGCTCGAAGCCAGGGCTCTGAGGCCAGGGGGAGAATCCAGACTACCAGCCAGCCCAGCACCACCTGAGCTAGAAGCGCTCAACTCGCCCCCTTGGGCTCCCGGCAAAACCCAAAACGGGTATTCCGGGTACCCTCCAAAAAGACGCAAGACACAACATCTGCAGAGCTCCTGCGCGACAGCGAGAGAGACCCGTCAATTGGCGAAAGCTCGACCTTGTGATACAAAAGAAAAAGGGCCTCTCGAAGAATAACCCCCCAAGCGAACCGGGGATTCCCTTATCTCGCAGAAGTGGGGATTAACCCCTTGATCCCACCGCCCTGTGATTCGGGAAAGAATAAGACACGTGACTTTCTCAGAACATTGCGACTAAGACTTTAACAGCAAGCCGCCAGACCCTCGCAGGCTTGAGCCACGGCATGTGCAGGGAGGCCACGCTTGGCTTTGCAACGCCGCGAAGCAATTTGCCACGGCTGCGCCAAGTTGCTAGGACCAGGTCGAACTTCACCCAGTGATCACACACAGCTCTGATACCCAGGACAAAAAATCTCAGAGCGATCTCCAAGGTATAAATCACCTCAAAATCTCAGAGCGATCTCCAAGGTATAAATCACCTCAGCCATCTCCACCATGCATTCATGCACCCCTTGTTTTCGAACACATTGCCACCAGAAACCTAAATACCGGCGCAGAGAAGACTGTAGCGCCCAACAGGAGCGTCACAAGACTGGTAGCATTTCCAAT